TCCGGAGCCTGTGCTCCGGACGCGCAGGCTCAGCGGCCATGGCTCACGGGCCCAGCCGCTCCGCGGCATGTGGGATCTTCCCGGACCGGGGCACGAACCCGTGTCCCCTGCATCGGCAGGCGGACTCTCAACCACTGCACCACCAGGGAAGCTCGAGCCTTATTTTTTTAAACCAAGTATCTGTCAGGTAAAGTGATTTCCTGCTGAGAAAAAGAAAGCTTAATTTGAATTCTTTTTTCATCTCCTTGGTAGAACTGAAGGCTCTACAATTCCCTACTTCGGTCCACCTTTATTAAGTAGAAAATAAATGAACATCGCTTGTTTAGGAAATTTACTTAATCACTGCAAACTCAAACCCGACATTTTAAGCCAGGAATAATCTCGTCTGTGGGGAGAATATTTATTGTACAGATGGAAGTAAAGTCTGAAACAGCTGTTAAAGTCTTTACCACACTATTTTTATTTTGTCCGCTTTAATGGAGATGAAACAGAAGTCACGTTCAGCCTGGTCTCCCCAGCATAGGGGGTTTCCTCTAGGTTTGCTTGTGGAGGGAGGTGAGGGGCTTCTCTGCTAGCGCCCAGGTGAGGGGAGCTGCAGGTGCCACTCGCCCCCTGCAACGCACCTTGTCCCTATAAACCCAGCATAAGCTGCCCGGAGTTTCCCCATCACCCTGTCCTGCTCGATGCTTTTGGTTGCTTTCGTTGCTTTCCCTTGTTCCATCTCACTTAGCAGAGACTGGTCCAAGGAGATAAGATTTTGTTACCAACCTGCTCAGTACATTTTGATCACCTAGAGCAGCGGTCCCCAACCCTTTTGGCACCAGGGACCAGTTTCGTGGAAGACAGTTTTTCCACGGATTGGGCGGGGCGATGGTTCGGGAGGTGATGCGAGCGACGGGGTGTCGGGGGGGGGGCGGGGGGCGGGATGGGCAGCGGCAGATGAAGCTTCGCTCGCCGCCCAGTGCTCGCCTCCTGCTGTGCAGCCTGGTTCCTGACAGGCCGCAGACCAGTACCGGTATCGGTCGGTGGCCGGGGGTCGGGGACCCCTGACCTAGAAGAGCAGCTCCCAGGAGGTGCAGGTCCCCTGTGTTTCTGGGTGGTTCAAGCCTTCCGTGAACGGAGGAGTGACGTGGGGAAACCAGCTCACGCTGGCCGCCGGGTTTCAGCACCCTCAGCTTGACACGCCCCCCGTCCCCACCCTCGCTCTCCCGACGCGACCACGGCAGCCGGAGATGATGCCTTCTGCCGGGCTGGTTGTGAATCAGTGCACTAGGTTGTGGCCTCAAGTGCGTAACTGCGTGGACACGTATCTGTAGGTTTTCTTATTTACATAAGGGGCCAGGTGGGCAAGAGCAAGGGGAATGTTTTCAGAAGCCGTTTTAGTGTTTATTTTTTAACACTGCCATCTGGGAAGGTGCTGATCTTAAAGTTTCAACGTGGTGAGAAGAAGAACAAGGAGCTGATCCACCCCACTGCCTCACTTCTCCAGGCGCAGCTAGAAGCACGTGTTTGTGCCTGGAATGCGTTCACGGTTTGGGGTGTGATGTGTGCGTCGCTTCTGGTCCTTACTGCCCTCGAGACACGCGGCTGCAGGGGCCCTAGGTTATGGGGTTCCAGGGAACCCAGGCTCTCATAAAGCTCTGGTGGAGGGTGAAGTGTAATACATTTATGAAATGTGGAACCTTTCTGCTTTTAAACTGGGGGGAGTGTGTGGTGGTTCTTCTAAGTTCAAGGAAACAGGAGGGCTGGGATGTTTGTCTTTACTTCTTTGTACTCAGGAAGACCCAGACCTGATAGAAAGCATCGTATCTCAAAATGTGGACTCCGGCTGCATCGGGATTACACAAGGCCTGTTCGAAATGCGTATTTCCAGACTTTCTGGATCAGAATTTTAAAAGGTTGGGGATTGGAAATTTACACTTAAAAAAAGCATCCCAAAGTGATTCTTCTGCACACTGAAGTTTGAAAACCACTCTTCTAGTGTAAGAATAACCTCCACTGCTTCAGAGGGCAGCAAATCTCTGACGTCACTGGCGGTGTTGGCCTGTGTGGTGAGGACTTTATGAAAAGTACGCTGAAGATGAAACGGCAGCCTGAGACTCTTCGAGAAGGCCCTCCCCCCAGGATGGTCACCATCCTGATTGCTGTGGTGAAAATGGGAACAGCTCATGGCGTTAGCTGCCTTTGCCTACTGACTCATTCAGATAATTGGCATGTGGAAAAGTTTAACTAGAAAAAATTAGACTCTTTTGTGCTTTAATCATTATGAAAAAGAATTAGGAGGTAGTTAAATTTATAGAGGTAAGCAGTTTTTGCAAAGTGCACTTAAAGTGGGTTAAAATTGGTATTCTGTCACCAGTTATGTTATGTAGCAATTGCTTTCAGTACGGAAAGTAGCTAATGTTTGCAAAATATTTGCTTTTGTTTTTTAACAGGAAAAACTAACCCAAGAGTGTGTATTCAGAGAACAGTTTGAAGAAAACTGGTATAACACGTACTCCTCGAATCTGTATAAACACGTGGACACTGGAAGGCGGTTCTATGTCGCGTTAAATAAGGACGGGACCCCCAGAGAAGGAACGAGGACTAAACGGCACCAGAAATTCACACATTTTTTACCCAGACCAGTGGACCCCGACAAAGTACCCGAACTCTATAAGGGTATCCTAAGCCAAAGTTGACAAAGACCGTTTCTTCACTTGAGCCCTTAAAAAAGTAACCACTATAAAGGTTTCACGCGCTGGGTTCTTATTGATTTGCTGTGTCATCACATCAGCTCCACTGTTGCCAAACTTTGTCGCATGCATAGTCTGACGGAGGCGTGGAGGGGACATACTGATTTTGTTCTCCAGGCTCGTCCTCTCTCGGGACCCCCTGCCCACTGCTGCCGGGTGGGTGGTGAGCAGAGGGCAGGAGGCCGCAGGGTGAGGGGGTGAGTGGGGCTGCAGAGAGGAGGGAGCAGAGAGGACCAGCCGATGCATGTGGGGATAGATGCGCTTTCCCGTCCGATCTCTTGTCCTTCATCCTCGTCAGCAGAGCTGCCACACCTGGACGCATCGGGATCTGGCTGGTGGCCCGAGGGGGGCCCCGCTGCATTTTCACAGGCAGGAGGGTGCGGTCTGACCGACGAGACTTTCTCGGTTCATTGTCACGGGTGTCATCCCAGTGAATTTAAAGCAAAGACCTCTTAGTTAAAAAAAAAAAAGAAAAAAAAGAAAAAAAGTTAAATTTATTTATAGAAATTCCAAAGGCAACATTTTATTTATTTTATATATTTATTTATTCTATAGAGTTTATTTTTAATGAAATATGTACAGGCCAGATAGGCACTTTGGAAGCTTTAGGCTCTGTAGGCATTAAATGGCAACGTCCGCTACAAACCTGTGGTATATTCATGCAGCGAACGTGGCGTGCATGGATGTGAGACACTCAGATGGCCCTAGTGTCCTAAAGGCGACAATCGCTTTTGTGCCCGTGTTATTGTAAACTGATACATACCGTTCATGACACTGAGTGTCCACTCTTCAGACCGCTTGTTCCATAGCTTATCCCAGAGGATTAAAGATAAACTGGGTCTCAAACTTTTATTCTGTGTCTGTAATATTTTCTCTCTCATAAGTTACTTCCTCCCTCATTGTAACTTCACGGTTGGAAAATATAAGGGTTGGTATATATTCTACTTGTCTAAATGTATCGCAGAATATACCAAAGCTAAACAATAACTGTGCTTTTATTTTAGTCGATCTCCAGAACAACAGGACTCATATCAAACATTGTACTGGTTTAGAATTCTCAAAAAGGAAAAAAAAAAAAAAAAAAAAAAGCTTACTTGGCACAGAGTTTTCTTTTTTTTTAGGGGACAAGAATCAGAGTCAGAACAACAGGGTCATTCTTATAAACTTTTTATTTGTGCACTTGGCTCTCAAATATGAAATTACACAAGTACCATAGGGGTTACTGTAACATCTTTTATAGAAAATTGCTTTCGGTGTGACCTGTCATAATACCTGGTAAAAGCACCCTTCAAGTAAAACTTGCAAAATGAAACTAATAAATCTCCATCAATCATGACAATGAGGGGGAAAGTATATATTTGTTGACTGTGTTTTGTTTTTTTAAAATGGTCTTCACAAGCACTCAATTTTTTTAGAGGGGAGGTTACTCTATAGGTTATCTTTTACACGGCTTTTATAACATTTTATGCTGAAAAGCATAAGAATACATATTTGTTTAGTAGCAATAATTTTGAAACTTGCCCTTGGGCAAGGGAGACTATTTCTTACTATATACTAAGGAGAAAAGAGCCAAATTCTTAAAGCAATATTTAAGAAAAAGAAATTTATAACAAATTCTCATACCACATATAACACTTTCTAGCCATTTGTGTGGGAAATTGACAGTTAAAAAATGCGTTGGGGTTTATGTAACTAATTTTAAAATTTAATATTCCAACTTTGTTTTGCTCTGATGCACATTCTCTATGAAAAATAAAAGTGTGCCACTGGTGGGTCAAAGCTGTTTTGAAGTAGAAGCACGTGGCTGATTGTCATGAGCGCGGGGGCCCATCTCTGGTCCAAAGGGCAGAATGGACAGGGCCTCCTGTTGATGTGCATTAAAGAAAAACTAAGTCCAACATTTGGAATTAAGAAATATGCTGGGCGGGGGGGAGGGGACAGAAGCAATGTAAAATAGCTGATTTGTGGTAAAAGTCAGAATGTCCTCTTCATTTATTTTCTTGTTTCTTTTTTTAAAAACTTTCTTAACAGAAACTGCATTTAATTCCAAGAGGTAGTATTCTTATTTATTATTTAACCCTTTGCTGCTGCTAAAATGTGCACATATTCGGGCTTTAGTTTTTCCAAAAGGCATTTAATCTTGTTGGCTGAAAAACATTAAACATCTGATCACAGGGAAGAATCAAGTTTCTAGGATGTCATAGGTACAATATTTAGCACCGAAGAAATTGATTTTAGGAAATAGCCAAAAGTAATCTTAAAGTAGCGTGAGATGCTCGATTAATCAGCCTAAAAGAAAGAAAACGATTTGTGAAAAAGACTAAACTCTCCAAGCATTCCTAGAAAATGCTACTTTAAATGTCGACTTTTGGAGTTATTTTGTTTTGGTTACTTTTTTTTTTTAAAAAAAGAAAAACAAAATGTTATATGCTTTTGGCAATTGATATGATAAACTGTAATGGTCTGTAAATAAATAAATACTGACTTATGCAATTTCTGTACATAAGTGTTCTGGGAGAGTAGATGGCTCAGGGTTTTGGTGCGGGCGCTGTCCTGCTGGGCTGCAGAGCGAGTCGCCCCAGCTCCTGGCTTTGCCACTGGTTCTTGTCATAAGGGACCCAAGGCTGTGGCTGGCTGCTCAAACCTCTGTGGAATGATGGGTCCAGTTTTCACAAACACAAGCCCGGCCAGCCAAACCGCTATGTCGTTTGTGCCAACACTGCACCTTGGTCACAGACTTAACAGGCACGGACTGACCCACCCCCCCCATCTGTCATGAGAATGTCCCCAGGCGGTGCCGACGTGCCAGGTCACCTTGGGGCACCTGTCCCTGCCAGGTCCTGTTCTGTGGATAAGTGGACGGCTTCCGTTTATGGTTTTCATTCGATTTCATCTCATTAACACAACATTGTGTTATTTACTTGATAATCTGTAATTGTATGTAAATACATAAAGGATTATGTAATTTGTGTAAATACATAATTACAGACTTTGGAAAACTGGTATTTTTTACTTGATGTCCATGTTGGAGCTGCTTCCGATTCTGTGCCTACATGAACCGATGGAATTTTAAAAACACGATCTCCTTGCTCTTACAGCTGTTGCGTGTGTGTTGAGGGACGAGGGGGTGTGTGGCGATGATGGGGGGGAAGAGACGCATCCGGATGTCCTTTCTTTTCTGTAAGCGTTAGATGAGGGAGCGCGGAAGCTTCTGGGATAAAGATTGATGAACTTGCATCAAGCAAAACGCAGTGTGTACGCACGTTGACGTGGATGGTGAGTGGACAGAGGCATATTGTCCGAGGTCAAATTCTGTTTGCTGCATCGTTTGACCTCGAAATGTGCCGGATTTAGATCCACCGTTTGTGGTCACTTGCATGAAAGAGCAATGAAGCGGCGGGGGTCGGGGAATATGCCAGATGGATTCAAAAGATGCGTTCGCCAAGCCCCTGTGTCTGCGTGTGTGTGTGTGTGTGTGTGTGTGTGTGTGTGTGTGTGTGATACACGCGACGTAATACCCACGGGCATCCATAGACGTTTCACATTTGAAAATTGATATTTTATTGTTGCAGGTGGGGTGGGAGGAATTACGTGTCGGTCAGTAAGTAGCCCTGAGTTCCGGGCTTTGGGTGTGGAGGGCGGGCCTGACTGCGGGCGAGAGCCGCGCCCCACGTGGCTCCCCGCTCTACCTGCCCCGCTCCTTGGCAGCCGCCTCCCTTAGGTCTTCAGAAGAATTTTTCTTGTGACGTCTTCTTCACCGGGGGGAGCATGCAGAAATGAGAAACGGCCTCTTCTATAATTTTCTCTGGAAAGAAATGATGACGAGTGTTCTTCACGTGTGTGTGTGTTCTACGTCTCGGCGCTGCACCAGCTCGTACTCGGCAGGTTCGTGGACGCTGGCTGTAAGGTCGGACGGTGTTGTGAGGGCCACCAGTGAGGCAAAGAAAACACCAAGGAGAGGCCTCTTTGCTACTTTGGTTGGTCGTCAAAGAGAAAATTCATACTTAGGTTTCTCATTTCTCTCCAACTCTATTCCGGCATATATCTTGGAAAACATTTTAAAAACAACTTTAATGAAAACAAGTTGTAGGCATCCCTGATATCTCAGTACCTCTTGGCCAGGTGTGCTGGTAACTGGCTCTTGTTTTTTCCCATCCCCTTCTGAAGATCCTTCTGTTTGCGTTTTTGGTGATGATTCCTGTTGTCATTAGTGGACTTAGCTGGGAACATTTGATCCTGGGAACGAAAGAGTTAAAAGACAACGTGTAAAGGGGACATTCAGAGCTGAGCATCTGAGTCTGCCCTCCGCACACAGTGGAAGCGCAAGCGTTACTGACAACGTTCACGGCCCGGCTTGGAGAAACTTATCGGAAACACACTCACGCAGGCTTTTTCCTAAGCATTTCGTGGGATGTGGCAAAGCATTCTGTAAACTCCACCTGGCTGTTGCCTCTCGCTTCTAGTGTCTGCGGGCGTACAGGGTTGGTCCATGACAGCTTTGGGAGATTTCTGTTTCTGATTCATAAAAAGAGGGCTTTTCCTAGTCCATGAAGATGTTAGCGTTATAGCTGCTCTTTCAGAAGGAAGCGGTACTCCGAACATCTCTTCACTCCATGGCTGACCAAATCCTGCCCCCTCCCTCCCTCCCTGTTTTTCTTTTCCTCACTCCTTCCCTCCTTCCTTTGTCGTATTGTGGAGCTGGCACCAGCAATAAAAGGACAGGCATGGTCTCTGATGGTACACGGAACTTAAACCACAGGCATCCTGAGGTCGTGTGAGGGACCCTGGGATGGGAGGGTACCGGGGGCCGTGGGACATCCGTGCATCCCATATGGACTTTTGAGGGCCTGAGGTCGTCATGTCTGAGCTGAGATGCGAAAGAGCAGGAGGTACGAGAGAGAGCTTATAGTCACTGGCTTTCTAACCGTGTCAAGATTAAGTGCTTTGTTCTTGGAGAATCTGGGCTCATTGGATCCTTTACTGACGTTTCCTGGGTGCCTGTGACGGACCCTGAGGATATGAAAAGTGCTGGCTGATTGGCCAGCATCGGTCGTGGCTTTGGTTCCTGGAGACGAAGGGGACCAGTCTTTAGTCAGACCATCTCTGCTGCCCTGTGCCTACCGGGGCCACGCTCAGAATGCTCTTTGGCTACTTTCGATTGCTATTCAGAGGAAGGTGACTCTATTGGTTTTTGTTAATATTACTCACTTTAATTTTCCCCTTCCACATTTACCTCATGTCACAGGCAAAATTCACAACAGACTAGCAGTGAAAATATAGGGTAACAAAAGAGGTGAAAATATAATCTTTAAAATACCCACTTCATTCCTTCAATGAATATGTACTGAGCATCTGCTATATGACATGGAACAGTGCTAAGGATATTGTAGAGGAAAAAAAGACAATATTTTGATCTTGCTACTTAATACCAGGCTGGGTTCTACGTCAATTGTTATATCAACATGCAGGTTAAGATACTGTAGGACTGGGATGCCCACGTTATAAGGCAATTAGGATAATGTTGACAATTTTCCATGGACTTCACCTGTCTTCAGCTATGTATTCAATTTACATGAATATATAAGAACCCAGTTAGATGCAGACCCATTCAAGTCCTATTGTTTTAAGTAGGACAGCGTTTTCTAGTTTGTTTACTTTCTAAAATATTCTTTTCCATTACGGTTTATCACAGGATACTGGATATAGTTCCCTGTGCTCTACAGTAGGACCTTGTTGTTTATCCATCCTGTATATAATAGTTTGCATCTGCTAATCCCAACCTCCCACTCCATCCCTCCCCCACCCCCGGGACAGCGTTTTAAAAATGTGTCCTCAAATTTGATGATACAGATTCTTTCAGTAGATGATCTCCTCCTTGGCAGTAAATGAGTTCCTTTTGAAATAGAGGCCGTCCCATTTTTCCTTCCTTGGGAAGATCCAAAGGAAAAGGAACCGGAATTCCAAAAGTTTATCAATTACACATTTGGCTGTCTTTTAAGGATACCAGGACTCTGAAGCTACAAGAACCAATGAAGCTTTGGAAAATACCTCATCTCCCTTACAACCCACCTCACTGAAATATAAATGG